GGATACCTATAGCCACAGGCCACAGCGAATATTAAATTATTACCTGACACAGTGGTGTGCTGAACAATTTTTTAACAAGAGGCAAAACAAAATATATAGTAGCTACTAGCTACCTTATATTATACAAAATTTTTTTTTAGCAAAAGCACCAACTCGCCCACCTTTTTTTTTTAGATTCTGAGTGAAACGATGAATGTATTGATTTTACAATGATGTGTTTTTTTTTAATTTTTTTTTTTTTGTGTTTGTCATCACGTTTTAGGACAGTAAAAGTGCTTGGATTTTCTTCAACAGTAGCTTTTCTGATAGGAAAGTGAATCTAGTTGGTACTTTGGGGGTCAAAAGTAAAAATTTCCTAGTAGTTTTCACAAGCGCCGGGAAAAACAACATAAAAATTAAGGAAAAAACGGGAATTTTTAAGCAAATTCGGTTTTCCAAAAAAACGATTTTGGTTTTTGGTGTAACTTTAAAACAAATGAACGTATATACATGACATTTTCAAATATTTTGATTTATTTTGAACTGTTTAGGGACATTTTCATTTTCCATTTGTTTTTAGTTTTTTCTAAAAATATCAATAAAATTTTATTTGATGGTTGCGAAAGCTTGAAAATTTAATAGAAGGCTCCTAGTATATTGTTTCAAAGGCAGATGAAAAATATTAAAAATCCTTGGTCACAATTTTTTTCTATAAGCATTTAAAGTTCAAAAATTGACAAAATATGGAAAAATCACGAAAATTAGCAAATTATTTTGAGTTATGAATTCGTAAAAATTTTTCTTTTTAAATCTAAGATTTGAAAATGTAATACAAGATTCCTTATAAGATTATCTACCTTTATCAAAACAAAAATGTCTATAAGAAAGTCAAATTAAATTTTTATGAGCGTTTGAAATTCAAATTTTTACAACATTGGATATTCACTCGATTTCTCATGTAGCGATTCCTTATTTTGTTGTAATTCAAAAACGAATAACTGTAGATACATGAAAATTTCACTGAATGTTCATATTAGCATTTTCTATACACTGTACAATTTTGGACATTTTTTGACTTTTTTTGAGCTGTTTATGGACATTTTCAGTTTTCAAATTTTTAGTTTTTTTTTCTATAAATATCAATCAAGTTTTATCTGTTGCGCCAAAAAGTGTAAAAATTTAATACAAGGCTCCTGATATATTGTTACAATAGCAATTGAAAAATTTTAAAAAAATACATAAGCACAATTTTTTTTATAAGCATTTAAAGATCGAATTTTGACAACATTTATCATAATCTCGAAAATTATCAATCATTGTAATTAATAAATTATAAAATGTTCAGTTTTCATAGGTAAGGATTGCAAATTTAAAACAAAGGTCCTCATATATAGTTCATACTGTTACCAAAAAATTTAAAAAATATATGAACATAGTTAATTTTTACAGACATTTTAAATTCAAATTTGGACGAAATTACATAATAAAAAACCTAGAATAACTATTTTAGTTATTTTGTTGTGATTGTATAATATTATTCGTGGGCACTTGAAACTTCTAAAGTATACTACTATATATCTATGATAGTATCAGGGTTTGTTGTTGGTGTATAAGGCGTTATAAGTACCTAATGGATATTGTGATATGATTAATTTGGAAATCATTATAGGTCAATTTTTTTAATACCATAGATGAGTAGGTATATAATATGTCTTATACCTAGAAGGACATACCGTCTCCGCTCAGAATCGTTTTTCTTATAAAATGATATAATATCATTGAATTCAAATGTAATACCATTCATTATACAGTGACCCACTTGTAACCTACTGTACAGCAGAGCGACACCCACTTGCCCACCTTTTTTCATTTGGGTTTTAAAATTAGGAATGCATTCTTGTAAAAACATTCTTTCGTCAATGTCCGTACTGTTTCATAAAACGTTTTAAGTTGTTCATTCCCCTTTTTTTAGTGTGTGAGACAGCTTAATTTAATCAATGGGTCAAAATTTATCGTACCTAAAATCGTACCAATCCAATCACCTACTTGAAGGCTGACAGACCATCCCCGGTCAGAATCGTTTTATTTATTTATTGTTAAATTCAAATTTAACACATTCATTGCAGATACCTATGGCAAGATTTCTTTGTTTTTAACATTGATCAGCTATCACCCACCCACTAATTTTAGAATTTAGTCTCTTCATATTCTTTACGCCACAATTTCATAATTGTATTGCTTCAGGTAGTAGTTGAACTCCCTTAAAAATAGAGTGGGTGGGTAAAATAATAGAGTATACTTCCTATCATCTTTCTGCTACAATATTGTATTAAACACAATAATGTCATTAAATTATTTATACATAGTTAGTTAGTTATAATGATCAAATTCTTATTCATTTTAAAAAATTATGCATTATGATCTCAACCTTGAAGGATACAAATTTTATCCAGGAATTTATATAACAGGAATTATAACAGGAATTTAAGTTTAATAAATTCCATAATAGATTACAAATCACCTACCGATGCATTTAAAATTTCTGCCTCATTTAAGAATTTTACTCTATCCTCCACGACTAACGAGAAGTAATTCCTACTTTGAAAGACTCAATGGTCCTTTAAAACGTTGTTCCCATTTCCACCATATGGATTGAATTTCTAAATGAAAATAATATCAATTGAGTATTAGTACTTAATATTTAATACTTAGTACTTAATATAGTGGAACCTCAGTATCTCAAGGTTTCTGTATATCAAATATTTTTTTTTCAGTCCTCATCATTCATTCACATATTTTAAATTACCTCGGTAATTCAAAGTTTCGATGTCAAATTTTCTTTTTTTGGTCCCTAAGACTTCGAGACACCAAAGTTTTTCTGTAGTTATTACGTATTAGTTATAACTTATAATACAATAAATAAAATTAACAATTGTCAACTCATAACTCACCAATGTTTAGAAAATGGTTTTCTGTTATTACTTGTTGATCCTTTTTTGTAGAAATATAATTAGGATCTCCAAAATATTCGTATTTTTAAGAGATATAGGTTCATTAAATTATATATTTTTTTAAATTAAATGCTCATATAATAATAATAATAATAATAATAATATATTTTGTGTATCTACATGCCAATACACTAATTACAATAATAATTACAAAGATATCATGATAATATTATAATTTATAAATTATATTATATTTTTATTAATTTTATTTTGGAATGTTTATTATAATTAACGCCACAGTAAAAATTAATTTTAACTTTAACGAAACCAAAGCCATTTTACAATAAATAAGTAAAGTAACATAAATATACAAAAGTCATAAATTATATATCACATGCAAATTAATAAAAAAAAGTAACTAAAAGTGATGCCAAAAAATAAAATATACTAACAAGATTTCTGTTAAAATAACATCACAATAAATCCGTAATAATAAAAACATGTATTTATAAAAATGGACTGAATTTCTAAATGGAAGGTAACATATAATTGAAAGAATACAAACAAAAAAATTAAAATAAAACAAAATTAAACCTAATATGATTTATGCAATATACCCATAAACAATAATTGTCAGTTACATAATTTCACAATAATTTATTGTTTTCAAACAAAATAAAACCACAGTTATGAGTTTATGTTAGAACTAACAATATTTATAATCAATATAATATATAAGTAATTTAAAATTAAATAAATAATAATAAAAAAATATTGATAATTTTAAATAAATAAGAATTGAATACAACAATATTATATTTCTGCATAAATATAAAGGGTTATGATATTACTTTTGACAAAAAAAAAAAATATATATATTTATTTATTCCACTATGTTATTACAGGATTTCCAATCATCCAATTATCACTTTTTATATTAGACAAACTAATATCTAGTACTTCTAAAATGTTCACTCAAAATCATATCCAAATTTTGTATTTAATTTTAGTATTTTTATACAAAATAAAAATTAGGTAACTGATGTATAATTACATATTTTTGTAACAATTTAAATATGATTTTGTTTGAACCGATACTGTACACTAGAACACTGTATATGTCATGTACCTATTTAAATTTGATACAAGTTTTTCAATAATAATAATTTACTTATAACATATTATATAGTATTTTACCGACATGGGAGTATTTTATTATTTTAATTTGATAAAAATTAATATATTACAATTATATTATTGTATATATTGTATATAATTCACAGTATCTACTTTAATTAGATTATCTAAGTATGTCTGATAGAAAATGTTATTTTATTAAATAGTTATACAGCTATATAACTTTTAAATGGATTAACAATATTATAATATTGTCTGTTTAACATTGTATGTTAATTTGATATAAATAATATTATTCATTAGAAAATACATAATATATTATTTTTTATTTTTAAATTAATAGATATTCATGAGGTAAACGAATAGGATATAATTTAAATCAAATTTTATTTTATATTGCACTTAATATTAAGTTAAAAAAACTTAACAAGATCATAAATTAAAACTGTTACTTTATTCCTAAAGGAACAATCTCTTTTTCATAGAACACACATTTCTTATCTCTAAGCTAGAGTTTGCTTATTTTTAAGTAATAATCTAAATATAATACTTTATGTTTAATTTAAAATAATTTAGGCTAAAATAGGCAGAAATTATTTTGGGCATTATTTTATTTTTATACTTTTACAATATAAGTATAAATAATAGATTTTTAACTAAATATCAGTAATACCTGAAATTATATTCATTTTGCCAATTTAGAGTTTGAAATTATGGCACGAGGATTGTTACAATGATGATACTTATTTTGTGAACCCTTTAAAATGTGTGCAATAAAAACTCTGTACATTTCACTTTTCAGTCCCAGTTTATTTCCTAAAACAAATAACAATGAGTATAATAATATATTAATAATATACATATAATTAATTTGTTAGACCAATTCATATGGAATATTTTTTTTAAAATACAGAACATAATAAGTGGATTACCTTATAAACCAAAAGGATCTAAGACAGGCTGTGGCTGAGAGCTCTGAGTACTGGAAGGAGCAGTCATTCCAAGATTACCACCACCTACTGCACTACCACCAATACAGCTGGGTTGTACACCCTTAAGATATAACACAAACTTACATAAGAAATAATATACAAATATTGTTTGAATTATAACTCAATATAATTTTTTTTCCAAATAATGTATTATTTATACCATCAACAAATTAATTTAGTTGAGGGTAGATACAAATATTATTATTTGAATTTTGAAAAGTGACTTTACTATTCAGTAATATATAAAAAAAATAAGCTATCTCAGGTACAGACAGATATACAAGAAGTAAATTTATAAGATTAGAGCAATTTAATTTAGTTATATTAAAAGTATGAATTATTAAAGGAAATATTAGTTGTAATGGGAATTGGAAAATATTCTCAATAGTAAAAAAAAGTTTAATATTATACAAATGCAAATATTAAAATAATTATTAAGACGCAATGAATTTATATAAATTTCACATACACCCTTATTTACATAACAATTATACAGACAATTTCAACCACATATTATCAGTGACAAAAAACGCATACTATGCAGAAATTACCAAATTATAATATACTTATATTTTGATGCGATTGTGCAATGATAGCCAAACTAGCAAAGCAACTCAAATTAAAAACAAAGTTTCTACTTTTTACAAAATTGAATGTTTTAAATAGAATGTACCTTTAAAATGTAAACAAAAATAACTAACTATTGATGAATTCAGTACAACATGCACAGACTGATATAAAAAACCATCATTTGATTAATAGGTTATATGGTCAAATAATATAAGGATCCAGTAAATATTCATATTGCATGTATAAAATTAGATCTTTAATTTTACCCAGCATTAAATTATTATGAAAAAAAATAGTATTAAGCAGCAGTGGTGCAAACATATTTTATTGAGACTCAGGGTTTTAGATAATTCATAATTTTAATTATAGGTATGTTCTGATTAATTAACTAAAATAGCATAACAAATAAAAGGATACGCTGCCACTGACATAAAGCAGGGGTGGTCAACTCAAACTCACCAAAGGGACAGTTTTTAAAACTTAAGGTCTCATAAGCTGGGAATTACAATCAACATTATTTTTCTCATTTACTTATAAAAAATCAAAATTTCAAAATGGGCTGGATAAAAATAGTATGTAGGGACTAGCATAAAATATAACCATACAATTGTTTATTTTTTAATATTTAACAGAAAAAGAAAATAAGTAATTAAAAGTATGGTAAATATACTGCGACCAAGTTAAGATGATGACCGGTAGCGTATTAGACACGCACATATAACACCGCGACCTCTTCACATTCCATAGTAAAAACAGTAACAGTCAAAAACCGGTCAGCCAATCAGATGTGTGGGATTGTTGTATTGGCATTGTGGGACAAGGATCTGACTGAAACTAACAAAAATGCGTCCAGCGCCCGGTCATCGTCTTAACTTGGTCGCAGTATACATATAACAATTTATTAGCGATGAACATAGACCACACCCAAAAATTCTTGTTCAATGTGAAATAGGTGTTTAAATTATACTAATTGAATGCTAGTTTATATTTAAGCAGTTTTACAAGTGAATGTGACTTACCATTGGACCATATGTTGATACAAATGGTGAAGGGTTGGACATCATTCCTTGACCCTATAATCCAATATACAGCAAGCAAAAATAAAATAAAATAATAATAAAAATTTAAGTACATAAATAAAAGCATGCAAAATAAAATGTATAAATACAAAAATAAATAATTATGGGCAACATTTTAATTTGAAAAGCTATTTACAAAAGAAAATATCAAAGTACAAGCATAGGTATATTACATAGAAACAACTTAATCAATAAAAATAAATTTTTCTTAAGCTGTAAACTACAATTACAATATATTATTTTTAAGTTGTCAATTGAAAACTAATAATTAACATTTGTTACATACCATTGGTCGATAATTTGCACCAGTTGTAGCGGCCATAGGCTGAGGGCTCCAGCCCATCCCTGGTTGACCATTACCAGGTTTTGGAGTATTTTTAGGGGAATTCCATTGAACTCTTAAAAAAAAAAAACAAATCAATAAAACCATTCTTACAAAATAAATATAAAATAATTACTTACGGCGGCGGTTGTGTAACTTTATTGATAGTAAGATTTTCTGCTAATGATGCTAAACTGCTATCTAAATCTCCAGTTAATACCTTTTTATTACCTGAATCAGATGCACCTAAAATTAAATAACAAAAAATAAAATAAAATATAAAATATTTTATCAAAAAATAAACAAATCATTAAAGCAAAAAAAATATGATAATAATGGCTGCTGATTACTGAAAATCATATTAATAGCTAAAAAATAATAATAATAAATTACGATAATGCCCATGCCATTTACATAATATAGCATTAAATATAAATATTTAAAAAAACCACTGAAGAGTTAACTCAAGTACAGACCTTACATCATGTTAAGCCTAAAACTTGTATTCTTGCAAAAGCATTAAATAATTATTTTAAATAAATTAAAATAATGTGCTACAGGCCAGTAATTGAGTGCCTGCTTCGAAATAAAAAACTACCCGGAAATCAAGAAAATCATAATTCACACAATATAGAAGGCCGAAACATATACGCCTGAATACAATATCATATTATATTGTATACCTGAAGCAAGTGCGGCCAAATTGGTTTTGCCAGGAGATCCATTTATAGGTTGAGGGACGCTTTGAGGAAGAAAAATATCCGCTGCCGAATCCAAAACAGGATTAGGATCAGATGATGGAAGAGTAGTAGAAGGCGGAGGAGGTCTTGGTGGAGGTATTGATGCCCCACTAGATTTTCTGGATTGTGATTTTTCAACAGATGGAGGACTTGATTCAAAAATATTTGAATCAGAAAAAACATTTGAGGAGATAAAAGATGTCCCAGAACACGCAGCTTGAAAGACATTATATACTCAGGGAATTTCTTATAAACATATTCTTCTATTCATTATTATACTTAGAATTTTTCATTTACCTGTAGCAGTGGGAGCAGGACATGATTGGTTGGATTCTGGTTGACCAAAAACAGATGTAAATGATTTATCATCAACAAATGCATTACTATTTGTATTAAATCCATTACTCATCCAGTTATTAGCAAGAGGAGTAGACATATCATTTGTGGCATTTGTTTGTGATCCTGTCATTGGAGTGGAAAACATGTCAGCAAATGGATTACTTAATTGAAGTAAATCATCTGAAGCTTTCGTTGACGTCTAAAAAAGTTGATTTAAATTAAATGAATAAAACTCACTGTAATAGCATATTGCACCAACATTAAAAACGTAATAATATCTTGAGTAATACCTGTGTAGCCGGAGCTGGACATGAAAACAAGTCTACAATAGGCTCAGATGAAACTAAAAATGGATTGTTGACTGAAGCGATTGTACCATTCACAGGACTGTTGACTTTGGCCTGGGAAGATAATTGTTACAAAAAAATTATTTTAAAAACAAGATTACTAAAAAAAATATCATAAAATAGTAAATACTACTATATTACCTTGTATTGGTTTAAAACAGCTTCTTCTTCAGCCAAAACTGCTTGCTTCAATGACTCCTCAACTCCATCCGCTTGTTGGGCAATTGTTCCAAAAGAGCTGCTAGTGGAAGAAAGGGCAGATACACCAGTCTTTACATCTGTCCGATGAGTGCTATACGATTATGTGAGGGATAGGACAGGAGATGGAAAATAAAAACAAAATAAAATACAAAATTCAAATAAAAAAGACAAACATAAAATAAAAAAACTGCAAACACTACTATTACTTAGTTCTAAAAATATTTTACTAACTAAAGAAACAACTTAGTTATAAATGGGTAACTTAGGGTGACCATATTTATATAAAATAGGAATTACAATAATGGCTAAAGACCTTGAAAAATTGTTTTATCTCTTTTATTTTTTAAAGATATTTTGGAGATAACAGCCTGTTAAACCAACTAAGTGTGTTGTTGAATAAGCTAAGTATGGTGGTCGTGCAGGTTAATAATATAAATTTAAACACTGTGCAAAATTACACAATTAATATTTTGTGTTATATTTCATTAAAATGACTAAAAAGGATGTTTTACTATTGATTTATATAAATAAATAATATATGACTTGTCTTGGCATGCTTAACAGCTGTCGGCACTCGACAACCTGTTCTATGAAAACTGTTATTTGTATGGTATTATTGGTTTTAATATAAAACTGTGAAAATATGATTTTGAGTACAGATTTTACATTGTACTCACATTTAACTACATAGAGATAAGGGAATTAAAACGAGACCTTCTAAAAACAATATAAAAAGTGTCCAGTGCAGTTTGTCGAGACAAGGAACATTAATTCTCAAAAAAGTGACAGTGCCATTTTAAACAGGGCATATGGTCACCCCAGGGTAACACAATGTGTAGTCTACAAACAAAAAATACCGTTTATTAACAAATTATTTTCACAATTTTTAACTGTAATATTTAAATATATAAAATAAATTAATACCAAAAAATATTTTCCAAAATCGATTTAAATGACTTAATATATTATAATAAAACAAAACATTTTTTTTTCTAAACCATATTGTCATTCATTTACTATTGTTTTACAAATTTCTATTGAAATTTTGATAGTTTAAATTATTGATTAAGTATTAATATTTTTACCATTACTTAATTTATTATTATTTATTGACATAACATTATGTGTATATAAAGTGATTACCAGGACTAAGATAGAATTTATTGAAAACGAGAGCCAATTAGTGATTTACCAGGCCGATTAGAGTTTATGGTAGGCTTATGTAAGGGGGTGGGGAAGCAGTGGCGTATTTAGGAATTTGTCATGGGGAGGGTCCAGATAATTTTTAGAACACAGAGCCACGGGGGACGAAACCACCCATTTACTCTTTATTAAATAAAATATACCATATGGCATATTTATAAGACGATATAAAATTGTCGAGTTTTTAATTATTAAATAGTAATATGTACAAAACAAATTTAAAAAGAAGCGGGTAAGTGGATGTCACCCTGCTGCTGTACAGTAGGTTACAAGTGGGTCAATGTATAATGGATTGTATTAAACTTGAACTCAATGATATAATATCATAATATCATTGTATAAGAAAAACGATTCTGAGCGAAGACGGTTTGTCAGTCTGGATATTTTATATTGTTATTATTTATTATAGCCTGTAAGTTGAATTAATAATGAAATACTTTTATTTTTTATTTTTTTTTTCTATGGTGATAGACAAAGTGTTAGAAATTAAGATCCTATTTTTAGCGGTTTTTCGTAATTTTTTGGTGGTTTTTACAGTGGCATTAAATATTGAGAAAATCGAAAAATGACCTCTCTAAAGTACTATCTTGATCCAATTTTCTAAAAGATAAGTTACTATATGTCTATACATGTTGAAATCGAAGAACTCCTGGAAGAAATTTTGTATACAGGAAAAAAAATAAACACCATTGTAGAACCAATAGATCCCTCAGAATCGAATATATATTATATAGTTATATGTTATAACTTTTATACAAATATTTCCTTAATTACATTAGGTGCCTACTTCATTCATAGTTGATCTTTGATAGCTTTTCAACCTTAAAAAGGTTGAAAAAGATCTCTCTGGAGTGGTTGTAGATACTGGCAATGTACAAAACTACAAAATATTTGAATTAAAAATGAATTTGGTATTTTTCAACCATTTATGGTACCCAACTGATAAAAATAATCACGATATTTATTGAAAATGTTGATATAACTATAGCTTCGAAAATTTTTTATAAAATCCGTAAAATCGTATGATAAAATTTGTTTTTTAATCATGTTAAAACTGCACAACATTTAACATGTACGAGACACGAGTCAATGGGAGGGGTCCGGACCCCATGGACCCCCCCCCCCCGTAAATACGCCACTGTGGGGAAGTAATCATGTATTGAGTGTTAAGTAGATGATAAATATAGGTAGCGGTCGATACGTGATTTCTAAATTTTCTTCGTACAAGGTCTCCATTACCTGCCCACCTGTTTGTTTTAAGTCCATTCATCCTAGTTTGTAGTGATTATTATGTACTAAACAGATTAACAACCTAATAACCAATAATAAAATATAGGTAAATAAACTTGTCTTAATAGTGCTGTACACAATTTCCAGACGGATTGTCGGGTGAGTATGTAAAATATTATTTATTATTTTAAATATTTAAATTCATACTTTTAATTTTAATTCTTCTAGCTCAAACAATTATATAGTTTTAAATTGTCTATAATTGTTTATACTTTTTTCAACTTTTTGTTTTTTCAACTAATGATTAAATCCAGAAAATTATAATTATGATAAATTATAACTAGGGACCGGAATTATATACTAAAATATGAACAAAAACATCAAAATATGCAGTATACATATGCATAACAATTAGAACCAAAATAAGTTTAAATTTTTTTTTTTTTTTTAATCTAAGATACAGAATATTATTAATACATAAATATCTTAAGTAGACAAATTATCTTTGTAAGAAAATTAATAAAAAAAATTTGAAGTAATTCACATTTATTAAAAAATGATCAGAATTTTAACCAAATATTATAAGGAAATTGGTGTACTGTCCAGATTTGAATGATTCTTATTAAACCTAGCATACATTTGGCATTACGAATTATGATTATGTGTATTGTAGTTAATATTTTAAAAGAATTATTTTTTCCTAACATTTTAGAAATATCTGCCTCTCCAACATTAAGGTTCACAAGTGGCCAATAGTAGCAAGGCACCAGGAAAAATATTATATATAGTTTAATAAAAGTTTATATATAGTTTGATCAAATATTGTTTAATTGTATACACTTATCACTAATAAGACAATTTTTACAACTACTTAATTAAGTATGTTATTAATCTGTTTTTATACGTGCAATTTGTAAACTAGTAACACAGAAGTATAAATTACTTATGTTATGTTATTCAAATAATATTTTACATTTCCAATGAACATTAAAATTAATTTAAGAATTACAATAGTTATTTACTTTGTACAAAAAATTCAAAATGGATAGTTTATAATGATGTATAGTGGTAGTTAAAGTTTTAACGAGTTAAATGTAAACACCCATTGTAATTGTATAAAAGTATCAACAGGTGCATTAATAAAAAACTAACTAATAGGTAGGTACTAGGGGATGCAAACATATAAAATATACTATATAGCAGCATTACTCGATAGTCACCAAAAACCCATAAAGTAAAATTAAAATAGCCTTCATAAATGATAAAAGTTAATCAATTTTAGTTCAAATATTAGTTTTATGCTAGCTATTAAATTTAACTAAAATATAATAGTTTAATTTCTTTTGATTTGTTTAATATATGCTATAGTAAATGTCAGACATTCCAGAAATATACTTAATACTAGAAGGGGGAGTCATGAGTGAATTATTATAAAAAAAATTTTTGTGAACAAACAGTAAAACAATAGATTCAAGAACAGTCTTACAAATACATGCTAAATATCTACCATTTTCTTTTAAAATTTCAATGGGGAGGGGGAGGAACACGCATGTATTCAAAATGATTTAAAATTTGTCTTATAAAAATAAATAAAATAATAGATTTTTTAATAGTAATAACTAATAAGTATAAATTATAGTAACATAATAGCTACATATGCTCTAGTTGATATTTTTTGATTATTTAAGTAAATATTCTAATAAATAAATTAAATATTATCCACTGACTATTAATTGCCTAACCAAATTAGCTATTGTCAATAATGACTACCTACTATGAATAACTGACTGCCGACTTTGACGGTAACATAATGTAAAATAAGGAAATATAGGATACAAATTTTAGTATTATTAAAACAAAATTAACCTAATAATTAAGATATCAGCTACAAGAATATGTTAGGTTATAAGATTATGGCCGTTGAAGTGTGATACTACATAAATAACATTATTAAATCAAAAACAAAAATTGTTTACTGGTTTTATTCTAGTATAAGAGTTTATAATACCAAATTATATAACATTAAATTTAAAAATGAGTTTATTTTATCCTACCAGTAAAATATTTGTTATTTTTTATAATTAATTGGCAACATTTGAAATTTAAAATATACAAATGTTTTCATTATTTATTTTTATATTGGATTACATTTTTTAAAGTTTTATTAAAAACAAAAGAAATTTGATATTTGATTAAAAAATACATACATAAATTATTCTTTTTATTCAAATAAAGTGAATTATTTTTATAATATTAAAGTTATAGTTTTAAATAAACAGTCAATCATTGGGGTGAATAACTACCAACATAAATCACATTCAAACACTATTTTCTAAATAATATTTAACTATAATAGATAGAATTAGATAGAATTCTCATAATTAGGTATAACTAAATAACAAAAACACGCACATAAAATAATACAAGGATGACTTAAGGATTTAAAAAAATAGTAATAGAAAGGATCTTAAATATTGTAATGTTAATTATTATTTATTAAGAAGAAGTAATGTAAAAATATATAGTCAGAGAAAATCTTGATGAAATATTTCTCATTTATACTATATGGGATGATCCATTTAACGTAAGATACTCATTACTTCAGAAAACCTTTTCTGTTAACAGAATATTGTTCTGAGTATTTTGAAATATACTAAAAAAAAAATTTTGTACAAGTTGTTTATTAGTTTATTTATTTATTAGTTATTACTTAGTAAGTATTTAGTGTTTATATGAACAGGGTAATGACTAATGGCCTAGTATTTTTCAGGGTACTTCTGTACCACTCCACTATGCACTTCTAAACTTTAAATATTCATAAACTACTCTTCCAACATTTGGTTTTATACATCAAAGTACTTCAAGAAATATTCTGTTTTGGAATAAGGGATTAAAAATACATGTTGTAATAAAAAAAAATAAAAAGTAATAAAGATAGAATTTAAATTTTTTAATAACTTAAAATTTTGTAAAAAAAAATATGATATTTTCTTTATTTTTTTTTTTAAATTGAATCATATACCATGTTTTAACATTATGATAAAAAAAAAATTTTATTTTATTTTTACTGGTCCTTTTTTTATTTGGTTATGATGGTAATGTATTTATATTATTTATCGATTGCTAAGGGTTCCTTAGGTACTATATAGCGAAATCGGACAGTAACGTAATTATATTATGCATCGGTTGCTAAGGGGAACTTAAGTACTCTAATGTTTTAACATTCATTTAAACTTTATATTCAGAAAAAAAATGTTTTATCCAGCCCAAAAACATATATTAAATGTTAAAAATGATAATAGTTTTTGAACTGAGTGTCTTGGAGTTAAATGGATCACCAAGTATACTTTGTAGACCTTTATTTATTTTGCTTATAAATACAAAAGATTATTACTTATACTAACTTATTTAATTATACCATAAAGTATGTTTAAACGTACCAATAAATTATTCAATAATAAGTTTAAATTTTAAATATTTTTTTATTTTTGTATTGTTACATACAATATATTACTTTATGGTAGCATTAAATATGATTTACCATTTTACCAAGATTAATAATCATTAATTTAATAATTTTTCTAAAAATATGAGGTAGCTTAAATTTCATGATCTCACTTACATAAATTATTCATTATTAGTGAATCAAAACAAATATGACACAGAATAATATAAAAGATAATGGTTTGTGGTTAATAAAAAATTTAAAAACTTCAGTTTATTTTCACAGAAAACAATAAATTATGAAAAAAATAATAATTTTGTTAAATATAAAATTTTTATCTGAGTACCTAATGAATAATACATTGAAATGTGCATTTGAACAAAATATATATAGAAACTTTAAGAAGACATCATAATCTCATGTGTTCTTTTTGTTTTACAAACATTTGACTTGGGAAATCTTACATTCAGAATAATCCATTAAACTTGTTATAAAAATATTTTTAAAGTTTAAAATTTTATTATCAAACTAACACAAAATTCAAAATTTTATAATGCTCAAAACGTACTTTACATTAAAATGTCTAAAAAAAAACTCTACAGAACATGGAGCCATAAACAACGTTTTTACTTTTAAATTTGGTAATATGTAAATTTACTCTTATTGAAAATAACAGAGCAAAATAGATTATTCTAACATACAATTTAGTATGCTATGAGTAAGTAAGGTGGAGATAATAAATGAAAATATGACATCCTCATAATACTCTATATCACATTCATTATTCATGTAAAAATGAATAATAAAAATAGTAAAAAAAAAATAAAAAGTTTTTTCACATACCTCGTTGCTTGTGTGGGCGTGTTTGCTGCTGATTTTTTGCCTTCAATAGAAGCTAAATGTTGTTCTAATGCATCCAATAAGCTACTCGGGGCCTAAAAATAAATAAGTAGTTTTATTATGCAGATAATATTGAATAAAAGTTGTATTGAAATTTAACATACTTTAGTAAGATCGGGTATTTCACCCTTGTCAATTCCAACATTTTCTGCAACTTTGAGAAATTCTCCTACACGATCCATTCTAATAAGAAACTTTTTATATAAATCTAAGGCATCCCGGCATTGCTTTTTGTTCATATCAAAATATTTTTCTGTAAAAAAATAACACATTCACGTTTGATGAATATAAAATTATAAAATATAAATAAATAACAATACTACAATTATCTAGCCATTTGTAACAGTGATGAGCACAAACTATATATTTGGGTTTAAGCAATAACTTAATAAAATAAATATCCTTATATTTATCATGTTAATACAATTACAATATATACACAAACCATACCTAGAAAAGCTATCTAAGACACTAAGTTTGGTTGAATTTATTACACAACAGTTTGGATTGGGATATTACTATAGTAATATTAGCAATTTGGAAGTTACATAAATTAATAATATTGGTCAATAGGGGAAATAGTAATTTGTAATATTATACTCTTTAGAATTTTACAAACAAAATTAAAATATATAAACTTGTATAGGAATACTTTCATCGATGGATGGTATACAAAAATGATTCTGAGATACAAAATACTCCAGTACTCCACACATTTTTTAGCTAAACAACATTTGTAATTATTAATTCAGTCATAAAACACTATTAAGAATACCAAACCAAAAACCAATTTTATTTCCCTTCCATTTTGCCACATCTAGCTGCACGATTTTGTTCCAAAACACAGTCATTTCAAAGAGTTTGGCAAGAAATTTTATATTCATTTCTAAATTTTAAATATTTAGACTTTTGTAGTTAAATGCCCAACACTGTTTTTATTAATCTATGATCATATAAATACCTAAAAGATTAATGATACTATCATTATAACCAGCAAACAATCGGATCAGATCACGAAATAACAACATGAATGCCATATTAATAACACCATTAGTGAGATCAGCAGCAGAACAATCAAATTCAAGTAATGCATCAAGTTGTGACTGTAAAACTGGTAATGTCTTCAACAACTTTTCTGAATTCATAGTGCGTAATACTCCATCTTCTTTGCTAAAATTAAATATTCAACAAAAGAGTTAAATAATTTAATAAAAAACAAAGAGCATAAAATAAAACATTTTATTTTGATAATTCATTAATTATAAGCATAACTTTTTATACTAATACCTTCTTTTAACTTTACAAAAATCAAATGCCACTGTACGATACGATAAAGCTTTTTCATTTAAGTATTTTGAATAACGTCGAATAAATGGTGACATATCATAACCTAAAAAAAATGAAAACTAATAAGTAAAAGCATTTTAAATGCATTATAATATGACTAATTACTTGTATTTAGAAAATTATATGAACTATGAATACATACATAATTGTTTTATTTGTTTATAATTTTAATTATTTTTTAATTAACTTAGTTTGTTTAGTTGTTATTCTTACCAGATCGTACTCCGACGGGTCCTATATGTACCAAGCATAAAAATAAAACAAGTATACTTTTAATACTAATTTTTTTCTTCAGTTTAATTATTAGTATTTCATAATTTATATTAAGTCTTAAATTAAACCACACCAACATAATTTATAATTATTCACCTTGTAAACTGCTTTTATCCAAAAAATTGCTAAGTTGAAAGGAACTATTGCTGGATGCCAAATACTGTGTAAATCTCTAAAAATATGTAAAATATTTAATAAAATACTATGATTAAATGATAAAAAATTATTTATACTAACCTCGTTTCCATAACACATTAAATGATGAACCGTGATTAATGATTTAAATACTACCACCCAACTAGCATTTTGTGACCGTTCAATTAATAGATTGGCTAGTTGAGGGATTGACACATTTGGTTCATTAGTACAGTGTATCAAATCTGGAATAAAAATAAATAATCATGTTTTATACATTAACAGATTAATAAATACCTGAAGGTAATGTTCTGAAAAAAAAGTTCAGAGACGGATTAATAATAACTATTTAAAATATATATTTCAGGGCTGTTACAAAATATAACACACTTTAATACTTTACACACTGCATACACACTATAACGTTATGTTTAAGCAGCGGCATATCCCAATCTCAAGAACCTTTTTTATAACTGCCACATACCACATTAGTGTATTAATAAGGGAGGGATAAGCCAATAATCAATATTTGTAACAATACTTTTAAGAAAACAATCAAATCCATCAACATAATAATTTAACAATTAATGCAAAGCATATACAATAATGTGAATGAAAAAATAAATTGATGTACCTATCATTTATTGTATAATACCCTGAAGTATTTATCTTTCTCTCTTGAACAACGATGACAAGAGATTTCTCTCCAAGTGCAATCTATGAATCTATCTATCTTTTTATATGTCTGTAGTAACAGTTAACCACAATATTTCAAATTATCATACAACTGATATTCATTATATTTGTAATAATTAAAATTAAAAAATGTTATTTTAGACATTAGTCATTATTAGCATAGATTAAATATAATATATAACATATATACTAGTATACTATATAATAATATAATATATATTTTAATCTATGTTTAACTCATTATTTTATTGTAATAATAGGTATTTTCTTTAACAGCAATTAGAGCACCTTAAAATAAAAATAGACACATATACATACATATAGGTAGTACAGTTATAAGTTATAATATAATCATGACGGTTTTTGGTAAATTTTTTTCTGAATATACATAATGTAACCCCATTTTTAAAATTTTAAATTGTATTTAGGTACCTACCTCAAAGATTTATTTTTAAATTTCCTTTAAGTTTATTTATTAAATTACATTCGGATACCAATTACCTAAATTTGAACTCTGGTATTGGGTATTTTTTAAGCACGCGGGTTATTATTTTATATTAAAATTGTTGTACTAATGATAGTTATAGGTACCTCTGTCCAGCGACAGAACGCACCGATTCTGTGCATTAGCGCAACCCTCCCCCCGCACCACCCCGCTGAAAAAAACCCCTTACCCTATGGCAGGGATATGCAGAAAAACTGATTTTGGTCGGCCCGCTGAGCGTTTTCTCGCTGGACAGATTATAGAATACATTATTCATGTAAAATAATATAAAACCTGGGTATATAATTACGAAGTTTTTCCATTATTTTTTTGGTTGTGGCAATTTAGCTACTCAACCGCCAATTTCTATATTAATCCCCACCCACCACAAAAAAAAAAAAAGGTCTAAGTAGTACACCACTGTCAGATATTATAAAAGCTCAAAAAAAACAAATCCCTATACTAGCTGATAACTCTGATAGATTAATTAATAACCAAGATAAAATTACTTTATAATATATGCTATTTTCTATACAAAAATAAAGATAACAGAATGAATAGTGTTGTAATGATGTCAATAATATTATAAATTATAATACATAGGATATAGGAATACCTTTTAATAATATAGTAACTACACTACGGTATGTAACTGTGACAATTTATTAATATAGTATAACTGTATTTTGTATTCCTTCATGCAATTACAGTTGGTAGGTACTTGGTGTGATACTGACCATACGTGCATTGTACACATGACACATGACACATTGGTTGTATTAAGCGGTGCTCGTAAGACGTAAGTTGTAACTTGTAATACATTTATACATACAAAAACATTTTGGGTAATATTCATCTACAAAAATGCATACCTTCCCACTACAAACAAACCAAATTACGCCACTAGTACAGTAGCACACAACATGTATAATGTAGGTACATCACATAATATTATTTATTTATAAATGTTAGTAGATATTTATTAAATAGCGTTACGATATTTAAAAATTAAATTATACGATATTTCATGGTTATTATTATTATTATTATAATATACTAAATAATATGAGAGATAATATGTATTATTATTTATTAGAGAACAAATCAGACAGACAGGATACAGAAACCGGGTGTGGGACTTCGTCTCGATTCGTTCATTTCGCCAGAAGATAGTGATAAACAAATGAATATTATTATATTATTTCAGTATTTAAAAGTAATGCTAATTTATAAAAAAAAAAAAACAGTTCTGGGTGGAACTTAGCGTATTACATTTTAATACGAGTTTATGAAAATTACAACTTTAAAGTTTCTTATATGAAAGTGTTTTTTATAAAATAATATGAATATAATTAAATTTATAGTGTATAACTCATTGAAACCTTAAAACCGGAAATTTTCAATTCTGTGGTAAGAAAATCTAAAAACAAATTGGTAGGTACCGGCTCAGATATAAATTAGGTGCGTGTGGCCATGTGGGTAACTTAAATGCAGTGGTTCCCAACCCTTTCTATTCTACGCCCGATTTGTAGATTTTCAAAAACTCGCACACCACTCCTATACAATTATACTCATATTCAAAATAAGAAGCGCATAGGCAAAACCGGTTTTGTTACGTAAATCTATGTGCTTTTTATTTTGAACAGGGTAAATAAATTTAAAAAAAAATAATTATCGGACGCCGTGACAGCATACAACGATTAAGAACTTCGGCAAAGATTATGAGTGTTCAGCAGCTACTTTGAATTCAATGTTAGGTATACAATTATTATATACGATTCTAAGCGATAAGTCTGTCAACCAATATTAATAAGTATATTTCATGATATTATTGCTATTGAAGTGAATTATTTTAGTATTATTACTATGGTAGGTTGAATTAATTTTTACTGAAGACATTGCATTTGAAAATGTTATTGTGTGTTAAAAATATAATAAAACACTTTAAAGGTTTTAAGTACCCGCGAATAATATTTTTTTAATTTTATCTTATAACTGCTCTTATAAAAACTATTGAGGAAACTTATACTACATTTTCAAGCTTATAGGCCCGACCGAAAACATTTTATTGAAATTTATAAAAAAAATTGAATGTTTATATATAAATAACTTAACAAGAATCAAAATATTTTGAAGTATGAAAAATGATAAAATAAGTATTTGGTGGAAATTTCAAGTATCTACAGTTATTTATTTTTTGAATTACAACAAAATAAGAAAACGATAAATAGTTAATTTACAGTGAATATCCAATGTCATACAAATTTGAATTTCAAACGCTCATAAAAAATTAATTTGACTTTCCGTTAAACTTCTTATTTTTATTTAAGGTAGATAAATTATGAGAAATCTTTAATCTTTTATTACAGTTTTAAATCTTAGATTTAAAAAGAACCCTTTTTATGCATTTTTAAGGGTTTTGACAAAACAAAAATTTTTTATCCACAATAATAGAATAAAAAACTTCTCAAGATAAGCTATATTTTATAAGAAATAGCTCAAAATGAATAAAATATTTAAACAATTATATAATGCATAGAAAATGGTCATATAAACATTTGGAGAAAAATTGAAGTATCTACATTTATTCGTTTTTGAGTTACACCAAATCAATTTGGTCGAAAACGGGGTTTTCGTATAAAATTTACATTATTTTCTTAATTTATTTTGGTTGCTTTTTTTCTACTTTACTGATAACTACTGGAAACTTTTTAATTGTGATCCCAAAGTTCCAACTAGATGTTAATTGATTGGAAGCAAAGTTCTAATTTATTTATTTATTTATTGAAATACAAGGCAAATATTGCATAGTGCAGTTTATTTGATGTAATATATAATTAATAACCTCCAATTTTAATACGATCTAAAAATCGTTTAAAATCTTTTTTATTTTTTAAAAATTTGAAAAAAACCATTTTGTAGTTATTTATTTATAATACAGAGAAAAAACCATTTTGTATGAATGAAAGCAACTTCAATTTTTTCAAAAATACATCATAATATTGTTAAATTGTATGGTTTATTATACGTTGATAACTAATGCAGTAATGCTAATATCCAATAAGTAATTCAGAAAACACTACTCATTTAAATTGTAGGTAATATTTTTTATTTGTTTTGTGATAATATATCCACCATAAACCACTATGCACACGTTAATTATATACAAATTCAGTTTTATGGTAGGGAAATTATAGTTATAATTAAAATATGTGCGAGATATTCCCAGCGAATCGTTAATTTCGTTACAAAGACCATGAGCCGATACAAATTATGTGTGCCTAGCAGTTCTTGGTCGATATTGAACAATATTATTAAACAAAAAAATAATACTTCATACAATTTTAACAAGTAGGTAGTTGGATTAGCATTAATTATCAAAATGTGAAAATTATTATTATACAATATTATGCTGTATTTTTTAAAATAGAAGCTACCATTCATTCAAAATTTATAAAATTTCAAAACTGTTTTTTCATTAAAAGATTTTATTATTCGATTTTTTTTAGACTATGGGAAAAGGGAGTATTTTTGTTATATATCGCATTAAAAAAAACTTGACTACCTACAATACTGTCTATGTGCATTATATTTCGAATTAGAGCTACTGACTTTCCAATTAATTACCATACTGTATATACTCAAACATAGAAACACACTTTGGACTTTAAATCAGTAGCGTAGTCAGGGGAGGGGGGCTTCAGTAAACCCTAACAATACATTTTAAGAAAATTAAAAGATAATTTTTATGGTCTATGGTCTATGCAAATTACTGCAAATACAAATTTGTATATCCGTACAGGAACCAAAACCTAAAATAAATCCACGTCATCAGTATGCTAAACTTATGGGAGACTTTAGTTAAACCAACTATGTGTAAACACATTATCAGCCCCTCCCACTATAAGAAAACTCCTGGCTACGCCACTGGTTTACATAATATTTTAATTATTAGATTATACTAAATCTGCCAGTGGTTGTTTCAATCAGTTATTGGAATCTCCATCACATGTTAAGCTTAATATAAATAAATATACATTTTTATACTAGAAACAGCATTTTAGG